CCCTCCTCTCTCTTCTCTCTCTCTCCTCTCTCTCTCTCTCTCTCTCTCTCTTAGAGGGGGGCAATGACTTTACCTGAAAATAATCGGGAGAGAGAGAGAGAGGCAATGAAATGCATCTGAAAATTATGGGGTAATTTAAAATTTACCCATATAGGGCACCAAAACCTTGCTCTGTTTTCTCTTCCTTGGTTTTGGAAAGTACTGTAGCTTGGTTTTGGAAAGTACTGTAGTGAGGACATTAAACTTTTCGTAACCCGTCCCGTAGTGACAAAATAATTGGGATAAAACTTACATGAATCCTAGCTGATTTCAATCCCAAATAATTGGGATAAAACTTGAATGATAATTACAATGGTTGTGGAAAGTACTGTAGGACTAAAACATATCATTTCACCTCCATGATTTTTGTGGTTCCTATTGATTTGTGCCAACCTTTTGGGGGGTCATTTTCTAATTATTAGGTACCATATGTGTGTATATTTGTTCTTGTGCCATGTGTGTGTATGCACGTGTGCATGGTATTTAGTGTCTGTGTACTTGATGAGTCCCTTGGAAGCTTCCTGGTTTTGTTTTATCCTGAATTGGTGAATCTCAATGCCTCACTCAATAATAATTCTATTTATTCATTTTTATCGTTCTTTACTGTTATTTATTAGCAATAGACAGTTTACTTGCACATATTTTACTCTCTAATTGTTGTAGGACTAGTTTGGACTTGCTCAGGGATCAGTAGTTTATTCTCAGCTCAGTTAATTGTTTTTTATATCATAATTGGTCTAGATTTGGCCAAACAATAGACCTTTTGACTGGATTTACAGCATGATTATGAGTGGGATTAATGACTATGAATTACAAAGGGTGGATTTTGTCAGACAAACATGGTTTAGGAAGATGAGAGGAACCAGCAGATGAAATGTTAAGACATAAAATATTGTCATTGGGGGAAGCTTGTTTTTTTGGTTGTTTCAAGAGAAATGGAAGATTTGGTAAAACTGATTATAAAAATATGAGAGAGAGAGAGAGAGAGAGAGAGAGAGAGAGAGAGAGAGAGAGAGAGAGAGAGAGTAGTAGTAGTAGTAGTATAGTATAGTAGTAAGTAGTAGTAGTAGTAGTAGTAGTAGTAGTAAGTACGTACGTAACGTAACGTAACGTAACGTACG